CGGGGAGAGAGTAGCTGCAGGTCTGCGGCCTGGCCCCAGGTGCGACGGCGGACCTCAGCTTGACCAGTCGTATTCCTCCCAGACCCCTGGAGGGAGAACACTGGCCATGGGGGGCTCCAAGGAACAACCAGCTTCGAATGACTACCCTTGGGTCACTGGCCTCCCCACCTGTGCAGCAGGCGCCTTCGCGTTTCGTTATTAAACAATGGGGAGAAATCCATGTTTACTGTACTTTTTAAGGAATTTTTTGCTCTTCTCTTTGTAGTGGCTGTAGGAAATAGATTTTTTTTTAACCTCATAATTCCACCACCGTCACATCCATCTTCGCCATCGCAAAGCCACAGCTCCCTGTTTTTGTTTCCTAGCCTCCAGATTCTCACACAACACAGTGCAGTTTCACTGCCATAATGCTGAGAATCTTCATGGCTGCGTTATTTTCTTGTTCTTAGATCATCACGGTTTAATTAGTAGTTCCCCATAGGCAGAACATTTGAGATGTTTCCCGTTTCCTTAGGAAAAACTCCTGGTAGAAAAGGATTAAGGATTTTTACAAATATAATTGTCAAAAACATAGGAACAGGAAATTGGGTGAATATGTTAAACCTCTGAAAAAATCAACAACGCTCTTAGATTTGTAGAAGAGAGGGAAAAATCACCAGTGGGAAGAAGCAATTTTACTTACACAAGCACTGAGAAGGTCTTACAGTGAAAAAAAGCTAACCAGTAAGGGGAAAAGCAGGCAGAGAGGTAGGATGTGATTTGTATGTTATTTGTATCTAACACAAATCTTCCACACTGAAAGGAAAATATTAAGATTATAATAGATAAATGACAAAATGATGAATAATTTACACAATAAAATGCAAATTAAACATGTTTGGGTTATCATTTTACATTTATTAAAATAACAAAAATAATTAATAGTAACAGCAACCCTTGCTGGAAGGTTGCCCAGAACTTGGCATTTTCAAGTATCCGGGGAGGTGGCAGGGCTTTGAGATCACAAAGATGGTTCTACAGTCAATTTTGTGACTTTGGACAGGCTACCTAATTTCCTGATCCTCCTTTTGTCCATTCATAGAATGGAGGAAATGATAGCTAGTTTCTGCGTCTGTATGTATGTGTTATTTGGGGCATTTTGAACCAGTACAAACCTTTTGTAAAGCAATCTGGTGATGCATTAAGAAGTTGGAAGCTGTGACCTAGAAACCCCACTCCTGAGAATTTACCTGCAATGGAAGAAACAAACAAAAAAAAAAACAGGCACATATTCCCAGCAGAATGATCTAAAATTAGAACAGCTGGAAAACAGTCTAAATGTATAACACCAGGGCAGTAGCTAAGAAAATTATGACAGATAAACTGAAATAAACATTATGTAACCATCAAAAATCATGATTTTGGAGCCTGTGATATATGGGGAAAAACTGGTAAGTAAAAAAGTGGGTTACTAAACTGCACCTGCTTACTCTAACATGAACGCATATGTGAAAAATCTGAAAGAAAAAGCACAGAAAATGGACGTTTTCATTGAAATTATAGGTGATCTTAATTTTCTTTTGGTGAACATATTGCTGTCACTAAATAAGGACATTTAAAAAATAGTTCAACAGGTTTTAATTTTTTAAATGAAATGGACCCACAGTTTTCTGTGTGTAAGAGAAAGGAGAGATTGTTGTATTTGCTACTTAGAATAAAAGATTTTTAGCCAACCTTGTTTCTTTTTTCAAATATTGTTCCATTTTTTTAGTTGATTAATGATTTAGTAATTTGTATATTGGGTTTTTTTTAAGAATCAGTTCTTAGATTCATTTATCAATTCTAGTTTTTTGCTGTCGTTGTTTTTAAGGACTCCTGAATATTTTTCAAAACTGAACAATTTCAGCCATATCTAAGCTTTCTGTCTTCCTGGAGGCACAAATCTAGTTTAGCTGAGCCACAACAGATTGTACATATCCTGCAGAACCTCTGTGGTCTTAGGAAGGTTGAAAGTCACCAACTGTCACAGAAAATGAGGGTCAGGAAAGGCTGTGATCACAAGCTCTTGATCCAGAGGCCACTTGGGTCCATCTGTGTAACTCACACCTCACTGCATCATCATTTCTTGTAAAATCAGTTTAATTTTGCAGAGAAATGGCCACAGATTTTTAGAATTATTCTGAATTATGTAAGGGAGCAGCCATTTTAAAAATAATGTAATGAAATAACAATAATAACATAACAGAAGTTTCTGCACCACATTGACCCTGAACATGGCTCTCAACCAACTGGCCAAACCAAGGTAAAAGATTCTCTAAACTTCAGTTTTAACTTACTTTGTCCATTCTCCCTTTTCAGATCTTATTTCTTCTTCCAAGGCAACTATATCCGCTGTGAACTACTGCATATTAAACATTCAAAACATGTCTGTATCTAACCCAGTGATGGCTACAGCATTATAAAATAACTCCTAAGTGAATTGTGTGTGCAGCAATTCTCACGGCTGGGAGAATTTTTTTTCTCAATGTGTTAACCAGTCCTTTTTCTCCAACTGCATTCTACTTAAACTGTTACAGTATTGTGTGATCACTTTAAGGGCAGTAACCCTTCAATGAAAAGCATTATAAATGTTGAAGATTAGACCCCTGAGACCTAGCACTGAAGCCTGATCGCGGGTGCCAATTCCCTGAGAAGCTTTTCTAGATTCCCAAAGCCTGTCTCCCATCGCTAGGCACTCTCTGACTGGCTTGGGATGGGTTCCAGCAATGTTGTTTTTTAAAAGCTCCTCAGGTAATTTTGATGATGTACCAGGTTGGGGACCCCTTGCTCTATTCAGTTTGTGGCTTCTGGGTGCCAGTGAGAAACCGCTACCCCCAATTTTTGGGCAAAATTTTTTTTCAGCTTACATCAAGTTCTTTATGGACCTCAAAAAAATTAAAATATAACAAGGGAATTTACTTAGCTCAGAAAAGACAAGGGACACTATGGGTTGAAGGTGGGGGACTGTTTGACATTTGCCCCTTCCCAATGTAACTAATTAAGCTTCAAGTTGTAATGTGTTATATGGGCTGGAAGGCTTTGGTGGCTATATTTGGATCTCAGCTCCAACACCTTGGGCTGTTACAACCTTGGGATAAGTTCTTACCAGCTCTGACTCTCACTCTCCATCTGTAAATGGGAATAAGATGAATGGGGTAATTTATGGGTTTTTTTGTACCCTCTCTCTAGTTCCATTGTTTTGCCATTCTGCTCATGCACCAACGCCATGTGATCTTATTGTAGCTTTGCACTCTGACACCTGGCAGGTCAAGTGCACCCCGGATTATCTTCTCATAAAAGTTTTCTTCAGTCTTTTAAGTTTTGAGTATAATTTCATAATGTCTTTTAAAATCCCTTTTGAATTCTTTTTCAAATTTATTTATTTTTTAATTTGACAGATAAGATTATATGTATTGTGTACAAAATTAGAAAGAGAGCTTTTCCTCTAAGATCCGAAACAAGATAAGAATGCTCACACACACCAGTTCTATTCAACATATAGTACTGGAAGTTCTAGCCAGGACGGTTAGACAAGAGAAAGAAATAAAGAACATCCAAATTTGAAAGGAAAAAGTTAAATTGCTCCTATTTGGAGATCACATGATTTTATACTTATAAAACCATAGAGACTCCACCAGAAAACCATTAGAACTAATAAATTTAGTAAAGTTGCAGGATACAAAATTAACATACAAAATTCAGTAGTGTTTCTATATGCCAATAGTGAACTATCTGGAAAGAAATAAAAATAAAGTTCCATTTACAACAGCTACAAAATAAAATATTTCAGAATAAATTTAGCCAAGAAGGTGAAAGATCTCTACACTGAAAACTATAAAACACCAATGAAAGAAATTGAAGGAGACACAAATAGAAAGATAGAATGTGCTCATGGGGGAATAATTAATATTGTTAAAATGTCCATACTACCCAAAGTGGTCTACAGATTCAATAGAATCCCTATCAGAATACCAATGACATTCTTCACAGAAATAGAAAAAACAATCCTAAAATTCAGTGAAGGTGGCATCCTTGTCTCATTTCAGATCTAAGAGGAAAAGCTCTCAATTTTCACCATTAAGTATGATGTTAGCTGTGACCTTGTCATATGTGGCCTTTATTGTGTTGAGGTACAATCCTTCTATACCTAATTCATTGAGAGTTTTTATCATGAAAGAATGTTGAATTTTGTCATATGCTTTTTCTGCATCTATTGAAATGATAGTATGGTTATTGTCTCATTCTGTTACTGTGATGTATCACACTTATTGATTTGTGTATGTTGAACCATCCTTGCATCCCTGGGATGAGTCCCACTTTGTCATAGTAAATGATCTTTTTAATGAGCTATTGAATTTACTTTGCTAGAATTTTGTTAAGAATTTTTGCACCTATGTTCATCAGGGATATTGGCCTATACTGCCATTTTCTTGTATATTTTTGTGGGACTTTGACATCAGGATAATGCTGGTTTCTCCTGTTATTAATTTCTAGTTTTATACCATCATGCTTAGAAAAGAAACTTGATATGATTTCAGTCTAATTAAGTTTGTTAAGACTTGTTTTATGACCTAACATATGATCTATCCTGGAGAATGCTCCATGTGCTGTTGAGAAGAATGTGTGTTCTGCAGCTGTTGGATGGAATGTCCTGTATTTGTCTGTTTAGATCCATTTGGTTTAAGTGAAGTGTAAGTCTGATGCTTCGTTATTTATTTTCTTTCTAAATCACGTGTCCAAAAATCTAAGAGATCCAAAGCAAACAAGGGGTTATAAAATTACCTTTGAATGCTGACTGAAATTGTGTTTACTTTATGGATTATTTGCTGGTGACTTGGTATCTTTCAATACTGGTTTCCAGAACAAAAAAAGTTGTATGTCTTTCTCTTTTTCCAGTCTTCTTTTATGTCTCAGTAAAATTTTGTAGCTTTCCTACTATTTATTTTCAGGTTAAATCCTAGATATTTTCAATTTTTACTGCCATTGTGGATGAATGTTTTTCCCCATGAAATGTTTAACTACAACTGATTTAGGGACTCACTGAGTTTTGATTTGTTGATTTGAAAAACTACCACCCTGTTAAGCTCACATATTTATTCTAAGACATTTTTTGAGATTTTCCTGAATTTTCCAAGTAAAAAAATTATACCTAGATGAATTTATAGAACAACTTAATAGCATAAAAGCAATAGATTATTGTTCACCACATTAATGGGAATGCCTTTCCTCTTAAAATTATGATATTTTGGGCTTTGTGTTTGTGACAGCATTTCTTTATGATGGAAAGAGACTATCCTTCCAGTTCTATAGAAATGTTTTAAAAATAGCTTAAATTTTCAAAAATTTAGGAATGATACTGATTTTCATTGAAAACTTTTCAACATCTGAAGAAAATCTTTTTTTCTTCCTAACCTATTAATAGAGTTCCTAATTTTCAACCAGTCTTGTATTCCTAAAATAATCCATAGTGGTCATAATGTATTCTTCTTTTACTAAACAGTTAAAATAAGTTGGGTGCTATTTTTTTGGATTTTGGCACCTGTGTGAGAGGAGGGTGCCATAGCAGGGTGGCTAAGTGTGCCCACCTGCATACTAGCATTTGAATCTTGGCCCTTTATCCCATTGGCTCTAAATACTGCATCTCAGGTGAAGATGCCCAAATGTTTATCTCTACTGAGTTACAGATTCTTATAACAATTGCCTGAATTGGTACTCCCACTTGGATGTCTCATATATGTGGCAAAGTTTACATGTCCATACTGAAACTCTTGGTTTTCTTTCCCAAGCATGACCCTCCACTAGTTTGTCCTATTTCAGTAGATGGCATCACCGCCATCTCCCTGGTTATGGAAGCCCCAGACCCGGGCAACTCTCACTCCTCCATCCACTCAACCAGCAAGTCTTACTGGCTCTTTCTGTAAAATATGTCTCATTTATTCACAGCCTGCCAGCTGCATGGACTCCATCCCAGGCCACGCCACCATCTTCCTGCAGTAGTTTCTTAACTGGCCTCTCCATTCCCTTTCTTGTCCCACTAAATTTTCTTCTATTTAAGAAAAAATGTTTTGTAGACATGGGTTTTCGCCATGTTGCCCAGGCTGGTCTCGAACTCCTAGGCTCAAGCAATCCTCCTGTCTGAGCTTCCCAAAGTGCTAGGATTACAGGCTTGAGCTGAGCTTTAAAAAAAACAATTTTATGATGTTACTGTCCTACTAAGACCCTTTAATGGCTCCCCACTGCTTTCAGAAGAAGATAGACATTTCTCTCTGTGGCCCATGAGGCCCTCATGATCTGACCCTCACCACCTCCCTAGTCTCAGCAGTCCACCTGCCGCTGTCTCATGGGGCTCCACAGATTTGATCTCCTTTTTGTTCTTAAGCCCACCAAGCTAAGTATCTTATTCCAAACTGTGTCCTCAGCCCCTAGCACAATTCTTGACCCTTAGAATTCTGACACTTAAAGTATGTGTTAAGCTAATCAATAAATTATTGTGCCAGGCATGGTGGCACAATAATGTGTTGTGGGTCACCCATATATAGCTGTGGCTCACACTTATAATCCCAGCACTTTGGGAGGCTGAGGCATGCAGACTGGTTGAACCCAGGAGTTCGAGACCAGCCTGGGCAACATGGCGAGACCCTATCACTACTAAAAATACAAAAAAATAACCAGGCTTGGTGGTACATACCTGTGGTCCCAGCTACTCAGGAGGATCACTTGAGCCCATTGGGTGGAGGTTGCAGAGAGCTGAGATCATGCCACTATACTTTGGCCTGGGTGAGCCCCTGTCTAAAAAAAAAAAAAAAGGTTATGGTACTGTAAGTGTTATATTACAGTGTATAATTTTTGACAGTTTTTTTCTCCATTTCTTCTATGATTATTGGTCAGTTCTAGTCTTCTATTTTTTTTTAAGCTGACACATACTGGTTGGGCATCGTGGCTCACACCTGTAATCTCAGCACTTTGGGAGGCCAAGGTGGGAAGATCTCTTGAGCCCAGAAGTTTGAGACAAGCCTGGGCAACATAGCAAGACCCCATCTCTACCAGAAAAGAAACAACAACAACAAAAAGAAACTGGCACATACTAGTTATTCCATAAATATTTGTTAAATGAATTAATTCTAAAGTTGATTTTTATAATTTATATCTTAACAGAAAGACAATCCATTTCGGAAATATTTTTATTCATTAAGGAAAGTTGTATATAGTAATTTATTATCCTTTTAAAGCATTCTGTAAGGCTATTTCCCCTTTTAGAGATGTTTTCTAGGGATGTGTGTGTGTGTTGCATTTTCAAATAACTCTTAATTTTATTTAGAAATTCCACATTTTTCTGGGTTTTATTTATTAAATTCTATTTTCATCTCTATTATTAATTTATAACTATGACAGTTTATTTTGAAGTTTTCTGTTTTCTTCTTTTTGAGTTGAATAATCATTTACTTTATTTCACTTCTTCTATTCAGTTGTATTATCCACATTCCTCTGATAGCCATTTAGGTTCCAAATCCTCACATTTTTCAACTTCCTTAAAAAAATTTTTTTTGTGCTATCCTGATAAGCGTGAATGTTATATCATTTTTATTTCAGTTTTATTATATTCTTAATGATTTTGATTATCTTTTTCTATCCTTTTGGGTTTCTCTCTTAGGTAAATTATCAATTATATCTTTTGGCCATTTTTTCTGTTGGAATTACTGTCTCTTACTGCTCTGTTAGAATTCCTTGCAAGTTCTAGAAATGAATCCTCTGTTGATTTTAAGTCCCTTTTACCATTGTGTATTCTTTCTATTAACTTTGTCCAGAGTCAGCTTTATCGTGTTGAATAAGAATCTTTAAATTTTAATTTTTTTTAATTTTTAAGTTCAAGGGCACAAGTGCAGGTTTGTTACATAGGTAAACTTGTGTCATGGGGGTTTGTCATACAGATAATTTCATCACTCAGGTACTAAGCCTAGTACCCATTAGTTATTTTTCCTGATCCTCTCCGTCCCCCAACCCTCCGATAGGCCTTGGTGTGTATTGTTCCTCTCCATATGTCCATGTGTTCTCATCATTTAGCTCCCACTTATAAATGAGAACATGTAGAATTTGGTTTTCTATACCTGTGTCAGTTTGCTAAGGATAATGGCTTCCAGTTCCATACACATCCCTGCAAAGAACATGATCTCATTCTTTTCTGGGGCTGCATAGTATTCGATGACATATATGTACCACATTTTCATTATCCAGTCTATCATTGATGGGCATTTAGGTTGATTCCACGTCTTTGCTATTGTGGATAGTGTTGCAATGAACATATACATGTATGTGTCTTTGTAATAGAATGATTTATATTCCTTTGGATATATACCTAGTGATGAGATTGCTGGGTCAAATGGTATTTCCGTCTTTAGGTTTTTGACGATGTAATCAAATTCATCAATTATTAGACTTATAGTTTGTGCTTTTTGTTTTAAAAGTTCTTCCCCCATTCCTCCTTCAGGTCACAAAGATATTTGCCAATATTTTCCTCTTCTAGCGCCATACTTGTACCTTTCACATGTAAGTCTTGGATCCATCTAGAGTTCACTTTTGTATGTAGTTAGGGATCTAGTTTTCTTTTTCTTGTTTCCCAGAAGCATGAAACCTTCCTTCTGTACTGATTTGTGGTGCCCATGTCAGCACACATCAAGTCCCTGCTAAAGTGTATCTACGTGGGTTTCTCTCTCAACTTGCTTTTCTGTTTCCTTTGGTCTCTCCATCTATTCCTTAGTTTTACCGTCCAGTCTTCATCACTGTGGTTTTGTAGTGATTTCGTGTCTGCTTTGGCAGATTCCCTCCTCTTTACACTTTTTTTTTTTTTTAAGTTGACCTTGTTATTCATGGGCATTTTCTTCCGCATATAAGTTTACTGAACTTCTCAAAAAATCCACCTGGAATTTTAACTGGCATTTTATTGAAACTACCAGTACAGGCCAGCGTGGTGGCTCACGCCTGTAATCCCAGCACTTTGGGAGGCCGAGGCGGGCGGATCACCTGAGGTTGGGAGTTCAAGACCAGCCTGACCAACATGGAGAAACCCTGTCTCTACTAAAAATACAAAATGAGCCGGGTGTGGTGGTGCATGCCTGTAATCCCAGCTACTAGGGAGGCTGAGGCAGGAGAATCTCTCGAACCCAGGAGGCGGAGGTTGCAGTGAGCCGAGATCGTGCCATTGCACTCCAGCCTGTGCAACAAGAGCAAACTCCATCTCAAAAAAAAAAAAAAAAAAAAACGAAACTACCAGTACATTTGAGGATAATGGACATCTTTATAATAACTGAGTTATTGCAATCAAGACCATGGAATGCCTCTCCATTTTTTCAGATCATCTTCTATGTTCTCTGTATTAGAGTTAAAATTTTCACCCATCGGAAGTCTTTTCTTAGTTAAGTCAGTTCCTAGACACTTTACAGTTTGGTTGTTACTTTGAATATCTGTATTTTCTTCTGGTCAGTTATTAATAGTGTAGAAGAATGCTGTTGATTTTTGTAGGCTGACCTTCAGTCCCATAACCTTGCACTCTAGCGTTGGTTCTCATGTTACTCCTGTTATTCTGTTGGATTTTCTATGTGCATGATCACACTAATTGCAAATACTGTCAGCCAGAGCACTTTTCTTGCCATTCTTACACCTGTTACTTCTTTGCATATGGCCTTGGACAGCACTTTGAGTCCCATGACAATGGATGTCCCTGTTATGTTTCTGAGTGTATTCTCAGCGTTCTTCTTAGTAATAAACAGGTATTGACCATTACCATATACTTAATAGGATATCTTGAAATATGCCAGAGGACTAGGCCACTACCTGACTCGTGACAGAGAGTATCTTAGATGAATAGGCCTCCAGACATGCCAGTGTCCTTTCTCACCACCCATCTCCACTCCAGAGTTGTCTGGCCCCACCCACCTTCTGTGCCTGGTTCTTCTCCTCTGAGCTTCTCTCACTATGCCATGTCCTCGCCTGTTCAGGTGTATCTAAGAGCTCATAGATCCTTAACTCCTACAGCTTTAAATGAGGCTCGTTCAAAGCCCGACTCAGTGTCATTCCCTGCAGTCTCCTCTTCCTCCCATCTTGCCCATTTCAGGTAATATCTCCAGAGAGCCAGAGTCTACTGCAGTAGCTGGCACATAAAATAAATACTTGTTTAACTGAATTGAAAATGTTAGCTGGCCATTGTCAAAAATACTATTTTGTACATTTATAAATATGGTTCTCTTTGCGTATCTATTATAAATATTTAATATTTAGTTTGATTATTCCTTATGCTTTATAACATGTGTTTTCCCACTCATACATTTGTCCAGCATTTATTTTGCAAGTCTATGGGTCAAACACTGTGTCTAGGAACACTGCTGTGAACAAAACCAAACCCCTGCCCTCAAGGAGCCTGCACTCCCGTGGAGAATATGAACAATAAGCACACAATAAATAACATAATATCTCAAGTAGCTGTAACTGCTCCAGAGAATAATGAAACCGGGAAAGGGGGTGGGCTAGGGGTGCTATTTTAGGTAGAGTGATGGGAAGAGCCCCACTGAGCAAACTTGAGCCACATGAGTAGCTGGAAGAAAAGCCTTCTAGGCCCAGAGAACAGCAAGGGCAACAGCCCTGAGACAGGACGTGCTTGTCAGGTTTGAGGGGCAGTGGGAGGCCTGAACCAGGTCACATGGGGCCCAGCCAGCATGGCCACGACCTTGTGTTTTATCCAGAGTACAAAGGAGCCTCACTGAGGGACAAGGGAAGTGGCACGATGTGACCCGCATATTAAGAGGAGAGCACTCAAAGGCAGCCAGGGGAGGAGCAGGTAGGCTGGTTGGGAGGCTGTTGAAGGAATCAGATGAGAAGTGATGGAGGCACCAAATAAGATGGTCATGTTGGAAAATGTGAGAAGCTGAGGTGCTTAGGATTGATTTTCAAGGTAGAGCTGCTGAGATTTGCTGATAGATCCAGTGTATGCTGTGAGAGAGAAAATTCAGTCACTCTAGAGCTTTGGCTGGATTTGTCACCCATTGGAGTGAATGGAGAAGGTGCTGACATAAAAACCCCTTAGACTGAACGTTACTGACTGAGGGGATGGTGCCCTAGTTTGATTTCCTGGGGTGTGTGAGTAGCAGGGAGGCCAAGAGCTGGGCCTCATGAGATCATGGGACCTACATCAAGGAAGCAGGCCTGCAAAGAACCTGCCCCACAGACCCCCACCTAAAAGAGCCTCCAAAAACCCTAACTGGCATGACCAACTCTGCTTGTAACTTTCAAATATATTTTGATTTGCTTATGACCACCAAGGCAAAACTTCCCATTTCAATAATGTTAGTAGAAACATAAACAGAATGGTAATTTATTTATTTGATAATTCTTTTTGTGAATATTATCCAATTCAGTCATTAGCTCTGAAGGAGATGAAAAATAATTTTCTAATTTTTAAAAGAATTTGCAGCTAATTGGGTGATAGTTAAAGGTAAGGGGTTTCTGAGTTCACAAAAATGTTCTAAAATTGACAACAGTTATGGTTGCACATTTCATTAAATGTTCTAAAAACCATTGAACTGTACATGGTACATGATGGATTATATGGTATGTGAATTATATCTGAACAAGCTAGGTATTGTTTTTTTAAAAAATAAAAATAAAAAAGGAGAAAGAGGGAAAAATATTGCAGATCATCCCAGCACTGAGGACAAGACTAACTTCAGTGTTACAGTATATGCCATTTACAGTATATGCCATTTTAGGTTTTACGGCACACAGTGATGATTTGGAGCCTATGATTTGACCTAGGGTACAGCAGGTACTATTTAGCAATCATTTTACTATTGTCATAGGTCTCTGCTCTGGGAGCTAAGTATCCAGGGTAAATGAGATCTTTAATTTGAAAAGAGATTTTTAATTTGATGAATATACATTCTCCAAAGGGTCATAAACTGTCATTCTGGATGTTTGATTTGTTTGTTGTTTTAGTACAAAAATTAGAAGAAAATAAATCGCTCATAAAATATTAAATAATGAACTAAAATTCATTCATCAAGTCCATAACTTAGGGTCAGATTTGTCCTTGGAGCAGGAGAAAGAGTTGTGTTCACGCTTTTCTTACCTTTGCTTTTGTCCTAAGTGCTTCAGAGAAGTACAGGGCGGGAACAGCATTTCACTTGAGCAGCTGATGCCATTGCTATGCACTCATTCATTATGCACCAAACATTTAGTAGTTTCAACATAAATATGGGACTCTGATATTCTCCTCTTCATTTTACAGAACAGTCATCATGGCGAACCTTGGCTGCTGGATGCTGGTTCTCTTTGTGGCCACATGGAGTGACCTGGGCCTCTGCAAGAAGCGCCCAAAGCCTGGAGGATGGAACACTGGAGGCAGCCGATACCCGGGGCAGGGCAGCCCTGGAGGCAACCGCTACCCACCCCAGGGTGGTGGTGGCTGGGGGCAGCCTCATGGTGGTGGCTGGGGGCAACCCCATGGTGGTGGCTGGGGACAGCCTCATGGTGGCGGCTGGGGACAGCCTCATGGTGGCGGCTGGGGACAGCCTCATGGTGGTGGCTGGGGTCAAGGAGGTGGCACCCACAATCAGTGGCACAAGCCCAATAAGCCAAAAACCAGCATGAAGCACATGGCTGGTGCTGCAGCAGCTGGGGCAGTGGTGGGGGGCCTTGGCGGCTACATGCTGGGAAGTGCCATGAGCAGGCCCCTCATACATTTTGGCAATGAATATGAGGACCGTTACTATCGTGAAAACATGTACCGTTACCCCAACCAAGTGTACTACAGGCCTGTGGATCAGTACAGCAACCAGAACAACTTTGTGCACGACTGCGTCAATATCACGATTAAGCAGCACACAGTCACCACCACTACCAAAGGGGAGAACTTCACCGAGACCGACGTTAAGATGATGGAGCGTGTGGTTGAGCAGATGTGTATCACCCAGTACGAGAAGGAATCACAGGCCTATTATCAGAGAGGATCGAGCATGGTCCTCTTCTCCTCCCCGCCTGTGATCCTCCTGATTTCTTTCCTCATCTTCCTGATAGTGGGATGAGGAAGGTCTTCCTATTTTCACCATCTTTCTAATCTTTTTCCAGGTTGAGGGAGGGAGTATCCATCTGCAGCCCTTTTAGTGGTGGTGTCTCATTCTTGCTTCTCTCTTTGTCCCTGATAGGCTAATCAATACCCTTGGCACTGATGGGCACTGGAAAATATAGAGTAGACCTGAGATGCTAGTCAAGCCCCCTTTGATTGAGTTCATCATGGGCCGTTGCTAATGCCGGGCCAGTAAAAGTATAACAGCAAATAACCATTGGTTAATCTGGACTTATTTTTGGACTTAGTGCAGCAGGTTGAGGCTAAAACAAATCTCAGAACAGTCTCAAATACCTTTGCCTGGATACCTCTGGCTCCTTCAGCGGCTAGAGCTCAGTATACTAATGCCCTGTCTTAGCAGAGATTTCATAGCTATTTAGAGATATTTTCCATTTTAAGAAAACCCAGCAACATTTCTGCCAAGTTTGTTAGGAGGCTGCATGATACTCATTCAAAAAAAAATCCTAGAAATTGTTAGCTCTCGGGACACCGGCTTGGCCTACTGGAGCATGAGCTCTGTATCTACGGAGAACTGGGGCAATGTTTTACTTTTCACAGTAAGGGCTACACAGCAGCTGTTCATCAAGAGTAAATATCGGTACAACACTAAACCTCTGGCTAGAGGACATATTCACAGTGAACATAACTGTAACATATTTGAAAGGCTTCTGGGACTTAAAATCTAATGTTTGGGAATGATGCCGTTGGAGGCAACCTCCCGTTTTTGTTTAAAGGACCTATGCGTGGCATTCCTTTCTTTAAACTATAGGTAATTAAGGCAGCAGAAAAGTAAATTGCCTTCTAGACACTGAAGGCAAATCTCCTTTGTCCATTTACCTAGAAACCAGAATGATTTTGACATACCGGAGAGCTGCAGTTGTGAAAGCACCATCATCATAGAGGATGATGTAATTAAGAAAATGGTCAGTGTGCAAAGAAAAGAACTGCTTGCATTTCTTTATTTCTGTCTCATAATTGTCAAAAACCAGAATTAGGTCAAGTTCATAGCTTCTGTAATTGGCTTTTGAATCAAAGAATAGGGAGACAATCTAAAAAATATCTTACGTTGGAGATGACAGAAATATGATTGATTTGAAGTGGAAAAAGAAATTCTGTTAACATTAATTAAAGTAAAATTATTCCCTGAATTGTTTGATATTGTCACCTAGCAGATATGTATTACTTTTCTGCATTGGCTTGCACTTTGTGAGTATTCTATGTAAAAATATATATGTATATAAAATATATATTGCATAGGACAGATTTAGGAGTTTTGTTTAGAGCAGTTAACATCTGAACATCTGAAGTGTCTAATGCATTAACTTTTGTAAGGTACTGAATACTTAATATGTGGGAAACCCTTTTGCGTGGTCCTTAGGCTTACAATGTGCACTGAATCGTTTTGTATAAGAATCCAAAGTGGACACCATTAACAGGTCTTTGAAATATGCATGTAATTTATATTTTCTATATTTGTAACTTTGCATGTTCTTGTTTTGTTGTATAAAAAATTTATAAGTGTTTAATATCTGACTGAAATTAAACAGGAGCGAAGATGAGCACCACCTCCCATGTCTGCAGTTGTATTTCCTGGTGCTTACCCTGTGCTGGGAACCATTTTGGGGGTTAATCTGAGCCAAGTGGCACTTTCAGTTCTCCCTTCTCAAGTGATGGCTGATGGTTCATGCACCTCCCCCTGCTCCTGCCCTTGTCCTCACTTCCCTGTCACCTACTAGTTCATCCCTGCTGCTTTTGCATTTTCTCCACAAGTATCTATGTGGGCTTAGCCCTGGTAAACAGCAAAGGCGCTATTGCAGCAGGAGGAACAGTCTAGGAGCTTTTATCAGTCCTGGATTTAGAAATAGATTTTCTTGATTAAAATGAAAATTAACAAGCTCTAAAGAACTGTTGACCCTTGAACAACACAGGGATTAGAGGCACTGACCTGCTGCACAATCAAAAATCTGCATAGAAGTTTTTTTGGGTTTTTTTTGTTTTTTTTTGTTTTTTTTGTTTTTTTGAGAGGAGTCTTGCTCTGTCGCCCAGGCTGGAGTACAGTGGCGCAATCTTGGCTCACCGCAACCTCCGCCTCCCAGGTTCAGGCGATTCTCCTGCCTCAGCCTCCTGAGTAGCTGGGACTACAGGCACCTGCCACCATGCCTGGCTAATTTTTGTATTTTTAATAGAGACGGAGTTTCACCATGTTGGCCAGGCTGGTATCAAACTAGGCCTCAAGTGATCCGCTCACCTCAGCCACCCAAAGTGCTAGGATTACCAGCATGAGCCACCGCACCCGGCCTGCATAGAACGTTTAACTCCCCTAAAACTTAATTGCTAATAGACTAATTGCCTGCTGTTGGCCAGAAGCCTTACCAACAACGTAAAGAGTTGGTTAACACATATTTCATATGTCACATATACTGTATTCTCACAATAGAGTAAGTCAGAGAAAATGTTATTGAAACAATGAGGAAGGAAAAATATTTTTACTATTCACTGACTGGAGGTGGTTCATCATAAAGGTCTTCATCCTTATCAACCTCACATTGAGGAAGGCTGAGGAGGAAGGGGAGGGGTTGGTCTTGCTGTCTCATGGGTGGCAGAGGCAGAAGAAAATCTGTGTCTCGTGGACTCAGTTCCAACCCATGGTGTTCAAGGGTCACCTGAACCTGCTTTATACACCCCAAATCAGGCCCTAAAATAGTCTCAGGTCCTGTGAGCCCTAGTGACACAGTCTCTTCAGATTCAACACCTTTGATCTGAAAGGTGACTTTGATTGGTCATAATCTTCCAACTCATTTTCTACACGTTTTGACGCACCAGCGCTGTGATGCTCTTGGTTATCCTTGGCTGAAGTTTTCTTCTGCAACTAATTTGCTAAAGGCAGGGGGTAATCAGAAGTGACAGTGGTTGAAATCACAGGCCAATATCTTAGCAAATGTTTGTGTTGTAAATGGGGGAGTGCCTCTGGTGGGGTCTTCAAGGATCACTCCAGCCTGGCTAGGGAAACTCTAGGGGAGGGGCACTTGAAATTATTGTACTCACAGGTCCTAGAGAGGGAGGCATGCCATGCCAAGCAGGGGGTCGGATTGGAGGAGTGCCCAGGAATTGGGAGCAACTCAGCATGTATGAGAGAGAAAGAGAGACAACTGCTGGGTAAGTGCCTTTACTGGGAGCCAGCGTGGAGGACACAAGCACAAGGTGGAGGGGGATCTCACTGGTGTGCTTGAATGTCACTAAGTCACAGTCAGGAGAAGACAAGAAGTGGAACCTGTGGCAGGGACCAGCCTTATTACACTGGCACTTGGTTACCTGGACAGGGTGCCCACTGCTTGTTTGTAGGATGTCAAGGCATCAGGAAAATATGAAGTTTTTAAAAATTTACAATACGATGTTAACCTCCTGCAGTGATCAGAGGATCAGCTTTGTATTAAAGATGAAAAGATACCAATCAACTCCTTGAAACCTCATCACCCACAAAACTACTAAAACAGAATGACAAATACAATTCTCGGCCAGGCACAGTTGCTCACGCCTGTAATCCCTGCACTTTGGGAGGCCGAGGCAGGCAGATCACTTGAGGTCAGGAGTTCAAGACCAGCCTGGCCAACACAGTAAAACTCCCATCCCTGCTAAAGATACAAAAAATTAGCTGGGAGTGGTGGCACACACCTGTAATCTCAGCTATTCAGGAGGCTGAGGCAGGAGAATCGCTTGAAACCAGAAGACAGAAGCTGCAGTGAGCCGAGATCACGCCGTTGCACTCCAGCCTGGCAATAAGAGCGAAACTCTGTCTCAAAAAAATAAAATAAAATAAACTTTTCTTTACCTGTCTATAATAATTTCTCAAAACGAGTCAACTGAGGAGACTTAAAATGTTCAAAGCATAGCTATTTGTAGGACCAAAGTGAATAATATCCACCTGTATCTTTCCCAGGCCTCATGTTTTCTTTCTGTTATTTCAAACTTGTGTGAGTTATGCAAAAGGAATTTTTACTATAAGAGAAGAGAAAACCATTTTAAAATGACCAGCATAAGCATAATTGAGTTCAATGCCCCAGAAAGTGTTCTTCGGAGAACAGCCAGGCACTGCCTTTGTTTTTCCCCCTCCCCAACTGGGGTCAAGACCAAAAGCGGTCTGTGTTTGGAGGGAAATCTGGGGCTGTACAGCTTCCCACTCTAAGTGGAGCTTTAATCCCGGCCAGAACCTGAGCTTCCCCAGGCAAAGCCTGACCTTGCCTACTGATCTAAGCATTCTGTGCTTCATTTTCACCCAAGAAAGGTGACTTCCTCCCGGCTAGGGAACTCCTCCCCTAGGACTCAGCTCATCCTGAGCTAATAACCACGTATGTCCATCATTTGTTCCATCCTTTGAGTCCCACCCATGTTCTTCAGGAAAGCTGCAGCTGGTCCACGTGCCTTGCCTGTGCTTCTGTCGAACTGCCCCTCCCTTCTCTGCCTGCAGCAGGGCTCCTGGAACTTGAATGTGCACTTGAATCTGCAGGTCGTGACTGGAGGTCTGTGTTTCTAACATGCTGCTGGGTGACGCTTTGCCGGTCCTGTGCTTGGCATTGTAGCAAGGCTCTGGGGTTTCCCACACTGGAGTCTGCATCAGAAACCTCTGGAGGCCTTGTTAAACACAGATGGCTGAACCCTGTCCCCAGAGTTTCTGGTTCCCTAGTACCAGGGTGGGGCCTGAGAATTTGCGTTTCTAACAAATTCCCAGGTGATACTGATGCTGCTGGTGCAGAGAGGACACATGGAAACCACTGCTCAGCAGGAAGATGCAAAAGAAGCAGAAGCCGCCCCAACCTTGAAATACTCACAAAGCTGCTGTGGAGACCAAAAGACACCTGCCGGGGGAATAAGAGCCTGGGGATCCTGACTGGGAGGAGGAGAGAGCTAGGAGCTCTAGGGGTGAATGCCAATGGAGGTGCAAGGAGGTGACTAACTCCTGCTGTCTGAAAATGGTGAAGCACAGCCGAGGCCTGAAGCCCACCCTTAGTGACAGATTTAGTTAAACTTGGAAATGGTGCCCAGTCACTTGAGAACGGCACTTCTCAGACTCAGATGTACACAGGAACCACCTGAGGAGCATATGAAAATGTGGGTTCTGAGGCCATAGCTCTGAGGTGGGCTTGGAGATTCTGCAGCTCTAGAAGCTTCCAGGTGATGCAATGCTGCTGGTGCAAGGACCGCTCTCTGAGAAACAAGGACCTAGAGGTCCAGGTCATCTTGGAGAGCTCTTCTAACCCTGGCCAAGAGCTTCGGGAAGCGCTGGGGCTCAGGCACCCGGCAGGGGAGTCTTCCCTTTCCTTGTTTGAACTCTCAGTGCTGCCTCTCACACACAATTCTGGACCCAGACAACAGGATTAGCGCAGGAGCTTATTTCAGAACTAAAGATAGTTGACTGCTCCTGGGGGAGGAAGGGCTCTCTCTCAGGAAGTCTCAAACGCCCTGCTGCAAAATTTTCACCCTCAGGATCCCCAATTTCCCTGAACCTTAACAGACTCGCTTGTTCTGTAGAAATTGCCTATATTTCAAAGATAAAAGGACTAGAAAGGTAGCCTTTTCACCTATATGGCTTCTCTTTTCTTTCTTTTTTTTTTTCTTTTGAGAGAGGATCTCGCTATATTGCCCAGGCTGGTCTCAAATTCCTGAGCTCAAGCAATCCTCCCATCTCAGCCTCCCAAGTGGCTGAGATGACAGGCACGTGCCACTGTGTCTTGCCCTATGTGGCTTCTCCAAGGTGAATATGGGCCTTGTGGGGCTCCAGGTGGCACATGTAAGGTGTGTATAGTAGTTTCATGTTCAGACTTAAAAGAAACTCAAAATTATGCTGAGGAATTCTTAGGGGCAGCCCCCTCCAAAATCAAAGACCTGTGGGGCGAAGCCCCAGCATCCTGCCCCGGTGAGCTGCGGCTGGCTCCAACAGCTGCTGCTCCTTGGTCTCTCATCTCCTGAAGCTTTGACAGGCCAGCTGGGGTAGCGAGTTAGCCTCTGAGGCCTGTCCTGTCCTATGCGGCCCCAGGCAGTGCTGCTCCCTGTGCCTGAGACACTGGCTTCTCCACATAGACCCCACATTCACACACTCCCCATGCTTCTCACAATGAAGATGCCATCGTCTGAGTCACTGTGTTCCCCTGCACAGACTGGGTCAGGGCCCACCACTCACCTTAGGATCACCAGCGGTGCCTACCTCATAGTGCCCATGGCAGAGCAAATCACAATGTTTCCATTCTGGATATAGCTCCTAAAGTCCAGCCACCACATCCCTAAGTCTGGCACAAAGTGAAGAGTTTCATGATCAACCAACTTGGTTTAGTTTGGCTCAGACCTAGGAAGATCCAAAACTTTACACCGGATCATGTTCCTCCCACACACAAATACACTGCAAACACACCTGGTATGGAGTTATGCTGATTAGAAGTTAATTAACATAAAGCCGGGAGTGTTGGCTGTAATTCAGTGGGTGCTACAGAAAGACTGGCAAGGTCCCCTTCCTGCATGTTGCCCAATTCCAAATGCTGGGCGTGCCCACCACCCTGCATACAGCAGCTACCCA